CGTGCGGCACCACAGGGGGGTGATCGGAGGAGTCAGACGAAACTGGCAGCATTGGTGCTGTATCAGGATCGGTTTGTGGCTGCGTGGGGTTCGGATGTGTCAAAGAGACGCTTCACCAGTCCTAGGCGTTCAGACTCCCGGCAACTGAGAAGGCTGTGGCGCAGGCCCTGTGCAACGTAAACTGGCGCTGTCACTGGTGGCTGGCCGGGGCGCGTAAGCGTGGCTGAAAACTGACCGAGCGTTCTTAGCTGGTCATTCGTAGCGCTGAACAATCCACTATGGCACGGTGTTAACGGTGGTCGAACCGTCATGCACTCGTAGATTGCACTGGAAATTACTGTGACCTCCGCGCCAGTGTCCACTTTGAAGCGGATCGAGGAGTCATTGACGTTCACATCCACGTACCATGCTTTGGCTGAGGATGAAACGGCACCCAGGAACAGAGGAGTCACGTCCAAAGCAGACAGCGTAGAGGCAGACACCGAAGCAGGCAGTGTACACTCTGGTGGCTCATCCAACTGGTCGCACTGGTCAACCCTGCCTGTGCGGCGCTTAGTGGTACGACATACTTTGGCACAATGGCCTGTTTTGCCGCATGCAGAGCACGACTTCTCCCTGGCTGGACATATCGAACGTGCGTGATGTGGACCACCACAGAAGTCACAGGTACGGGCTGGTTGGGCAGATCGGGGTTTGCCATACCCAGAAGAAACTGCGGAGACGCCTTGGACTGGTGGAGGGCGAGCACTGACGTAGGTATCCACTAGCTTGGCTGTGTCCAAGGCAGATTTATCCTCGTGCTCCAACACAAAGGTATGTGCGTCCTGTGACAATGTAGCGATGAGCTGCTCTCGTACAAGAACGTCGCGTACAGCAGCGACATCGCCAGCATTCTCAGCAGCAATTCATTTATTGAAAATATCGGTCAGACGCGTAGCCAGATCCACGTGCGAGGTACTCTCACCTAGAGTGTCGGAACGAAACTTTTTCCTATAGTGCTTCGCATCGACATGGAACCGGCGAAGCACGGCAGTACGGACGAGAGCAAAGTCCGTGGTGTCGTTTGCTGACATCGCGTTGTATGCTGCCAAAGCCTTGCCAGTGAGGTGAGGAGCTATGGCTAGCGCGAAGCGATTTGGTGCGATCCCATGACCAGTGAGGACACGGTCGGCCGTGGTGAACCAGGCATCAGCATCGTCTGAATTGTTCAGGGAACGAAAATTCGGCAGCGGCGGCGTGCGCGCCGGAGCCTGCGCTGGTGCGGCTTGAACCAGGCCCGAGACCGTTGCCGTGATCTGCTGCAGAAGCTGTGCAGTGGAGGCAGACTGGGCGGCGGTGTTTAGTTCCCATGTGGAGCGTGGCCTAACGAAAATGGCACGGCAGACTACTTTGTTTGGTACAGCTGCCTAACGAAAATGGCACGGCAGACTACAGTACTTTGTTTGGTACAGCTGCCTGCGTGTGTATGGACTCCATGGACTCCACCTACATTTATGTAGGTACAGTACATGTGTCATCAAAATTTATTCCGTAAAAAGTAGGGTGGGTGGGTGGTGGGTCCTGGTTACTTTGTAAAATTCACGGATTGAAAAAACTATCGATATTTACGGATGGCCCCTTACCCAATGTCAATGAAGCGGGAAGAGATTTTTTCAGCTTTGCTGCAAACCCACAGTTGATTGGTACGTGTAAATCATCGGAAGGAATGATGCAGGAAATGAGATATCAGTCTCTGACCACTTTGGTAGTGGGTTTGATCTTTGTACTCACCTCCCAGTGCTTTCGTAGCTGACTCTGCACCTTCGGCATTGAGGGTGGTGGCGTTTCACGCATGTGGGAGATTCAGTCTAACTGGGTCTAAAGTGAACTATGAATTATTTCAGCCAAGGTGTGTAATATGGAAAAAAGGGTACCAAAAAGGTGTGATTGTGTCCGCTGTTAATCTAATGGCATTTCATGCTTGTATTTGTGGAAAACATTGAAAACGTCTCAACGTTGTTGTGTATTGACTTCTTGACCTCAAGGTCTGCAGCAAGTTCGTGCAGCAGGCGGCTTATTTGGTCCTCTGTGCTGTCGTTCTTCCTGAAGCCTGACTGTTCTGGAGGGAGATGGGGTTGGATGTGCCTGTAGAGAGCTTTGTGGGCGATTCTTTCTTGCAGTTTTGATACGACGGGTAGGAGGGAGATAGGACGATAGTTTGTGGGACAGGCTCGACTGTCCTTCTTGAAGATTGGAGACACCATGGCATCTCGCCAGTCTCTCGGGACTTGTCCATGGGTGAAGGAGTGATTGAAATTATTGTTAAGGAAGGGGCGATGCGGTCGGCAATGAGCTTCAGAAGAATAGACGGGATTCCGTCCGGGCCGGTGCTTTTGTTGGTGTCAATGTCTAATATTGATTTCAAAATACTCGAAGTGGCAGAGCAATTTGCATAGCACCTTGTCGCTCAATTCCCCCCTCCATCCCCCCCCCCCCCCCCACCCCAATAACTAAACATATAATATGAGTTATCTACTGGTGTGCTTCACTGTCCGAAGAGCGCTCAATAGCCATGTAGGGTAGGGCCTTGTACACATGAAAGACTGGAAGCTGTGTCACAGCTCTGAGTTTCACGTATTACTATGACCATCAGGCAACCTGAGGCTGCCTGATGATCCTAGTAATATGTAAAACTCAGACTTGTGACACAGCTTCCAATCTCTCTGTTGTATATATGAGTATAAAATTGAATGTTGTCAGGGACTGGGATGCTTCACTGAGTGGGATTTGCCAAAACCCAGAGTTGGCATCTAACTTGGTGAACACTGTGGAACCCTCCAGTTGGGCCAGCGTTTCGTCGACGGTCGTGAGTTAATGTAATTCCAGACGGATGATAGCGTTGAGAGGGTTATAATCAACACAGATGCGCACGGACTTATCCGGCTTCGGCACTACAACCATGGCATGGCACCAGTCAGTGGGACCAGAGACGGGCTTAATTATTCCCATAGACTCCATGCGCTGTAGCTCTTGGTGTACCTTGGCCCTCAGTGGCAGAGAGGCATTGCGCGGTGAGTATATACTAGTAGGACGGGCATTGTCGGTCAGAGCAATGTGATATTCATCTGCCATGCTCTCTAGGCCGGTAAATAGATGCGGAAACTCGAGCAGAACCCAATCAGGCATAGTGCTAGAGAGATCATCCGGGAGACGATTTGAAGATTGCTCATTAGAGGACTCGTGCGGCACCACAGGGGGGTGATCGGAGGAGTCAGACGAAACTGGCAGCATTGGTGCTGTATCAGGATCGGTTTGTGGCTGCGTGGGGTTCGGATGTGTCAAAGAGACGCTTCACCAGTCCTAGGCGTTCAGACTCCCGGCAACTGAGAAGGCTGTGGCGCAGGCCCTGTGCAACGTAAACTGGCGCTGTCACTGGTGGCTGGCCGGGGCGCGTAAGCGTGGCTGAAAACTGACCGAGCGTTCTTAGCTGGTCATTCGTAGCGCTGAACAATCCACTATGGCACGGTGTTAACGGTGGTCGAACCGTCATGCACTCGTAGATTGCACTGGAAATTACTGTGACCTCCGCGCCAGTGTCCACTTTGAAGCGGATCGAGGAGTCATTGACGTTCACATCCACGTACCATGCTTTGGCTGAGGATGAAACGGCACCCAGGAACAGAGGAGTCACGTCCAAAGCAGACAGCGTAGAGGCAGACACCGAAGCAGGCAGTGTACACTCTGGTGGCTCATCCAACTGGTCGCACTGGTCAACCCTGCCTGTGCGGCGCTTAGTGGTACGACATACTTTGGCACAATGGCCTGTTTTGCCGCATGCAGAGCACGACTTCTCCCTGGCTGGACATATCGAACGTGCGTGATGTGGACCACCACAGAAGTCACAGGTACGGGCTGGTTGGGCAGATCGGGGTTTGCCATACCCAGAAGAAACTGCGGAGACGCCTTGGACTGGTGGAGGGCGAGCACTGACGTAGGTATCCACTAGCTTGGCTGTGTCCAAGGCAGATTTATCCTCGTGCTCCAACACAAAGGTATGTGCGTCCTGTGACAATGTAGCGATGAGCTGCTCTCGTACAAGAACGTCGCGTACAGCAGCGACATCGCCAGCATTCTCAGCAGCAATTCATTTATTGAAAATATCGGTCAGACGCGTAGCCAGATCCACGTGCGAGGTACTCTCACCTAGAGTGTCGGAACGAAACTTTTTCCTATAGTGCTTCGCATCGACATGGAACCGGCGAAGCACGGCAGTACGGACGAGAGCAAAGTCCGTGGTGTCGTTTGCTGACATCGCGTTGTATGCTGCCAAAGCCTTGCCAGTGAGGTGAGGAGCTATGGCTAGCGCGAAGCGATTTGGTGCGATCCCATGACCAGTGAGGACACGGTCGGCCGTGGTGAACCAGGCATCAGCATCGTCTGAATTGTTCAGGGAACGAAAATTCGGCAGCGGCGGCGTGCGCGCCGGAGCCTGCGCTGGTGCGGCTTGAACCAGGCCCGAGACCGTTGCCGTGATCTGCTGCAGAAGCTGTGCAGTGGAGGCAGACTGGGCGGCGGTGTTTAGTTCATGGGCTTGCTGTTGTTGCTGCAGAGTCGTCAACAGTTGAGCCATTACGCCGGAAGTCAAAAGCTCAGAGCTAGTAGCGGAGGCCGCATCCGAGCTCTGCGCCTTGGGCATGACTGATCCCGACGCAAAATTACCAACAGACTACTAAAATGAAACTATTTCGAATTATTCTGACACCATGTTATGTTGTTCTGTTATCTTGCATGAACAAGGACAACAGACAAAGGAAACTACCGTAAAAGTCCGTAAATATGTACCTGCCCGAAAGAAATACCCCCTTCATTCTTTTGGCTCTGTCTGTTGAAGTCAAGTCAAGCCCGATAAACATACTGCCCGAAATAAGTACAGGTACGATGCGCACATGCAGCACGTAGCATGCACATCGACATGAAAATGACTTCTCCACTACACACAAGTCCGGTCCGAAAGTTAGTTCATGCCCGAAAGTCAGTACCAGCCCGAAGGTTAGTACGGGTGTGGTCACTAAATTCGAAAGTAAATACGTACTTATTTACGGACTTTAGCGGTAATATTAAAACTACAAGGATAAGCGTTGGTACAAAGAAGGCAGTACAGATACTGGGATCACGAGAGTGTCCAGATGCATACGCATAGAATCCTAGTTACAGTCCATTTCAAAACTATAGACGCGTACCTAGGCAAAAACCGTTATGCCAGCATCTATACCACATAAAATCTGTGATCACTTTGTGCATATTTTTTTCCAAATCGGGCGTCTGTAATCCAATCCTTTAGAAACTATATGAGAGTAATTGTGGAGCGATCCTGAGCAATATTCCGAAAACTATTCTCAAAAAGTTCCAGCCAAATTTGAAATATTTCAAAAACCCTACGCGTCTATAGTTTTGAAATGCACTGTAGGTAGGACACGGATATGTGCAAGGCACGCATACGGAGCGTAGTGCGTGAAGGGTACAACAAGAATGCATAATAAGACATGTGAGTTACATACATAGAACACAGTAGATGCAGCACAGAGCAGGGGAGCATCATACATGGACAGGGCAGTCCATAAGAGTACAATAAATATGGTAGTGCATACACAACACCTTTGATAGGCGAAACACTTGTCTGAGGGAGAGAGAGTTTGTTGTCTCATTCAACAGCCGAATGGTACCGTTCACAGTTGTATAGAATACTCAGTGGATAACAATGTATTTTTTCTTCTTTTTCGCTATTTTCCTTAGTTACTGGTGGTGGTGATTCTGACATTACTACTTTACTGGCAACGACAATGAAGAACACATCACCTACAATGGCGCAAGTCACTACTACTGCTGCAACAGCAACAAGTTAGTACTTCACACAAGTTCTTTGGCATATTTGAGCATATTGAAGATGATGGCACGGTTGATTTTGTTGGCCTTTTTCGTGTTGCAATTCATTCCTGTATGTACTTGGGAAGGTCATAGGTTAGAAGGCAATGAAAATATTATATTTTTTCTAATATTTAAAATAAGATAAATTGTGCACTCATAACAACAGCAAAAAATGAAGAAAGTTAACTTCCATAACGTTTTCTTGTGACTGTCATCTGTGGAACGCCGTCACATAAAAATGTAATAACTAAAACACATACTATATATATATGTACATGTAGCTAATAATTATGGTTTCAGGTAGAAATACAGCAGCCAGCAAGTACAAAAAGCGAAGTTTGCACCTTTGCAATGTGTGAATATAGTGTATGTGAGAAAGGTAGTGGCAGATGAATGTGATACTGTGTGAATGAATGTAATGGTGCGTGTGTATTACTTGAAGAGTGTGAGCGATACAACATTTTCTTTCTGTTTACATAGCACAGGGTCACGAGTACGAAGATACACAGCTTCCAACACCTGCAATTGCTTGAAGAAACGTGCGCAACGAATAACACTAAACCAGGAATCGCTCGTGACCCTGTGCTATGTAAACAGAAAGAAAACGTTGTATCACCGGCTCACACTCTTCAAGTAATACATACACACACCATTACATTCATTCACACGGCATTCATCTGCCACTACCTTTCTCACATACAGTAAAACCTGTGACTACCGACCACCATTTGGTGCCAGCAAAAGCAGTCTTTAGTAGCAGGTGGTCTTTAGTTAGAGGTTTGCACCGCGCGACCATAATATTATATGGGTCCCATTATATGATATGTATGTCAAAATGCAGCCCCAGGACTTGCAGAACGCCATTCTTATTTCACTGATTTTCAGGTAAAACAACACTTGGAGAGAAAGACGGAGAGATGGAGAGAGACAGAGAGAAGATGATTTTTTTGCAGACATCAAATTCAGCTGCTACTTCTGAAGCCAGGAGTCAAACGCTCCCTGTGGAAGTTTAGTTTTGCGCTGGGCTTCAAATTTTGTTCATGCGATCAGTCGTACCGACTGTCCTTGTTGTGACTTTTCGATTGCTTGAACGCGATCCTTCAGCACCAGGACCTTGAGGTGCTGCTTTGTTTTTGAATTCCTTGATGCCATCGTCGATTCGTCTGTATGACTGGGGTGACAGATCCGTTCGTCTTCGTTTCTTCTCTGAGTAGTAACATCGATCAGAGAGCGCTTTCGATGCGCTCTCCAAGACGTTTCCGATCATGTTTTTTCCTGACAGCACTTGAAATGTTGACAGGTGTAGTGTAGTCCACACTGACTCCACAGTCAAAATGACCTGCGTTCATTTGTTTAGCTGTAGATTCCTTTCAGGACCATGGAAAATCAGCAAAATTCAAGAAGGAGCTTCAAGCAAAATTTTGATTTCCTACATCGCGGTCGCTAGTTACGGGTCAAAAATCGTCTTTGGGACAAGAAAAGGCGGTCGCTGGTCACGTTCAGCAAGTAGTCGCTAGTCACAGTGCATTTTGAATGTGGGCCCGTCCGTGCCTGGCGAAGGGGTCGGTAGTACCAGGCTGGTCGCTAGTCACGGTGGTCTTTAGTTACAGGTTTTACTGTACACTATATTCACACATTGCAAAGGTGCAAATTTCGCTTTTTGTACTTGGTGGCTGCTGTATTTCTACCTGAAACCATAATTATTAGCTACATGTACATAAGTGTGTGTTTTAGTTATTACATTTTTATGTGACGGCGTTCCACTGATGAAAGTCACAAGAAAACGTTATGGAACTTAACTTTCTTCATTTTTTGCTGTTGTTATGAGTGCACAATTAATCTTATTCCCGTAGCTATGCAGAAGACGTTACTTCAGTAACGTCTGGCGCTAGCCAGGGTCCACACAGCTTTAATTTGGTGTTTGTGTGTTTGTTTGTGTCACGCCTGGCGCTATCCGTATCTGACGGCAAAAAAGCATAGGATGTTATAAATTTTTCAATTCTCCTATTTTTTTTAAGGCATATCCTGGGATTCGAACCCGCACTATCGCCCTACATGCATTCCCCCATACACTTCGCATTCATACCCATTCTTCCAAGTTGCTTCGCGTTATTATCTTGCGTTTGAAAGCCCTATTTGAATATTGCGGGCAGCTGTTTGTGGCCAGCTGTGTTTGATGGTACGGTACGGTACGGGAGACGGCGTCGTATTACCCTCGATCGTACCTGTTCCGTACCTATCCCCTACCGTACCGTGCCATCAAAGACGGCTGGCCACAATGCATATTCAAATAGGGCTTTCAAATGCAAGATCACAATGTGAAACAACTTGGAAGAATGGGTATGAATGCGAAGTGTATCGGGGAATGCATGCAGGGCGCGCGATAGTGCGGGTTCGAATCCCAGGTTATGTCTTAAAAAAAGGATTTTTTTAAAGAATTTATAACAGCGGGGACGAAACGTACGTCGCAATCGAGCTATGTCGTTGCTGTGTCATCATCTATGTGCCATGCACTACTTGATGTACCAGCCTGCTATGCTGGATACCGCCAGCCATGCATCGACCAGGCGCCAGGCACGAACTGATGGTGGTGGTGGTGAGAAGGAGAGCTCTGTGCCAGAACTTTGCAGCCTAGAGAGCGTGTGTGGGCAGGCGTGTGTTTACCGCCATATTGCCAGGTGTGTCTTTACCACCATATTTATCAATTTATAACATCCCCATGCTTTTTTTGTCTAGGTTATCAAGGCAAAAAAGCATAGCGTAGGGCCCTGAGCTTCCAAGCTCTCTCGTTTATTGCCGTTTTACGACTATTGTCTCCTCGTCGATTGTTTAAGTATTTGTTTTCTTTTTTACATGTTAGTAACATTCTTAGCCAATGCCAATGAAGCAGGAGGATATTGTTCAGCTTTGTTGCGACCCACGGTTGATTTCAGCCTCCTCCTCCTCCTCCTCCTCGCGACATCGCTTGTTTCTTCCTGGCGGGTCTCCTCCATTGTCCATAATCTCAATTTCATTGACATCCTCCACGTCCTGGACAGTATCAGCCTACTTGGGTCGGTCTTGTCCCTTGTCATCTAGCAGTTCCCACTGCCGCGTTGCCGCTGGTACCAAGAGTTCATGACACCCATGTTCTTGGGGTATATCAGAGTACTTCTAAGTACATAAACCAGTGTGTGAAGCTCCCGGAAAATCATCCCGCGGCGAAGTTTTATTGTTTAGATCAATATTGCTTAGGTCATAGTGACTCACCTTTACTACATCTCACATTGGTTCACATGGTCATTTTACCGTTTCACCAAGGTAATTTCTGTTGTGCATTGCTTCTTGTCGTACCAAACGTGAAAAGGCACGCAATTTTCCTTCTACAGTCCTCCCTCGTTAGTAGATAATCTCTGGGCCATCGAAAAAGTTTTCTTATAACGAGACTTATCTTGTAGCAGCCTCGGACCTGCAGCTAAAGGTGAAATAGGCACTACTTCGTACTTACCGGGGCTACCCTCAATACAACATAAATCATCGATGCTCCCAACTCATAAGATAATTGAAAATCTCCAACATAACTCTTCCTTGGATGCAAAGTATCGTCCATATTCACGAATACATAGATATATTACATTTCGTCTTTCTGCTTTATCCTACGTGTTTTGGCCTTGGTCCTGCATGGTCAGTATTATCTTATGCTGAGGGTTTGGCACTCCAGGGACCTGGGCAAAGGGTCGTTATAACGAATTTTATGTACTAACGGACGATGTTGTAACCGGACCTGTAAACAGTTGTATAGACCACGTTTCGCCAGGGGATTTCAGATTTCTATTTACTAACGGCGTTTATGTACTAACCGGACTCGTTATAATGAGGGAGGACCTGTACTAGTATCACCTAATAGCGTTACGGAAATTTAGCCGTAGGTATGGTGGGTTCTCTATGATCCATGGTGACGTATACATAAACTTTGTCGTGGGATCGGTTTTGTGCAGCATAGATACGGAGCTGCAAACTCTGGTTTGTGTTATCTTGGGGCTATATACACTTGATGGTACTAAGAGTAGATAAGCTCCCAAAGCTTATTAATATTGGTGGTACTAGTTCAATGGATTCAAGAAAAATCTTGATTGTACAATTGCTCGGCGGAAGTCGTCGCTTTGCGGGAAAATGCTTCCATACAAACTCTCCCCGAGCTGGAGCTGCACGTGCACTCCGGTAGCAACTGCTGGGAGCAGCTGATTTAGCTGCTCAGATTGGTACACATGCACATGTCAGGCAGATCTACAGCAGGGAGTAGTAAACTTTTTTTTACTTCTCCCAGTCCCTGATCTGCAGCATTCCTCTTCTTCTTATTCTTCTTTGTCGGTGATGTACACAGTCTATGGACTGCAGAATGTAAGAACAAAATATTTAACTTAATAATGACTCAATCTGCGCTAACTTAATAATGAAAAACACAAAAAAAATGAAGAGTCGACAACCGGAAAAATAGAATTGTGGGTATACATGTACAGTAATAAGTACATGGAAGCTGGAAAAGCTCCTGTTATAGTGGGAAACAGCATAGCTGTTATAGTTGTGCATATGATGGGGATCAGGGAGTCGTAAAATACCGGGAGGCGACACGAGATGCACAACCGCGTCGGATGATTGCCTCAGCTCGGGCACGAGTGCTGAGACCTCACGCGCTGCATGGCGAGGGACTTCCCATGAGGTCAAAGCGGCGCAGGTCATGCAAAAGGACGCGTTCGCTGTTTGGTCCAAAAAATTTGAAAACTCAATAAAATTATCCTGCACACAACGAATCCAGTGTCAGCAGTTCGTTTTGTTTTTCTAAGTAATAATACTTTGTGCCTTGGCCTTCGAAGTAAAGGATGATGGAGCTTGACAGAGATGACTGCCAAAGTGATGAGTCCACCGTGGAAGATGTAGATGACGCCACGTATTCACTTGGTGACCTGAGTTGTGGGGATGTTCAGGATGTTCAG